TTCTGGTATAGCCTGACTAGAGAGTTGCCAGTTGGACTACAGAGACTGAACGGTTCATAAAAGAATCTGCTGCCAATTTCTCAACTGCAGAAGGATAAAAGGCTTTTTGGACCAAGGTCCAGGCGAGCAAACACCGTGCTCCTGATTGACGACAATCACTACTGCTGTTTTGTCCCTTCCTCAATCCCTTAATGAGAAGAACAGAGACAAAGACAACAACCATTGGTGCAAATATACTATTGCAAGCTCCAATCAAAGGTATTCTTCAAAGACATGTTGTAATCATGACAGACATGTTTCGGTGAACGAAAACGAGCAGATATCAGCGCAAAGATATTCCTTCTCTTTGAGATGAAGTGCTAGTGTGCAACATCACCAGAATTCCGGATTCTGAAAGTCAAGTACACCGTTTCTCTCACATTTTATGTCATATCTATTTCTTCCTTTTCCTCAGGTGTCCAGGTCTATCTTGAACTTTTCCATTTGCCACTTTTGACCAGAAAATTTTTGAGAGCCCAAGAAAGTAAACTCGGTAAATTTCTCGTATTCCAGTAGCATTTAACATTTATCGAGGGCTTTTCCACGCAGCATTCGGAATTCTTCGTTCGCGTTTTCGCACCCGCGACGAAAAGACGATATTAGTATTAGTAAGACGATATACAAAAATGAATCTTACTTAAATCAAGATTTTCTAATTTCGGCTTTCAGTTCAACATAAGCGTGGCGTGACCCTATGGATATTTTCGATATTTTTTACATATTTTGCTCTGGTGCCATAAATATAAAAATAGTGCAGTATCCAGCTGCGTTTCATAAATGATAAATAAATAATAAATAATTCATGTTTAGTTTTGTTATAGAGTAAGAACTAATGAAACGAAGCATGTTCGATGCTGCTGTAAGGCATCTGACTTAGGTAAGACTGCATCAGAAGGCAGCAGAAGTCATCGAATTAAATGGAGAAGGTATTTAAGAAGGCTTATCACACTGGTAATTCTTGCCCGGTCTTAAATTCTTTTACGGAGATTCGGTAAAAATGTCTGGCACAACATGGTGTAGAGCCTCCTCATACAGGTTCTTTTAGGCTTATACTATTGTTCATAATATGCGCTCCATGACGGATTCTTTTGCGACGCAGACTGAGCTAGATTATTTTTGCTCTCAACTTTCACTGATGTCGATATCTACTCCAGTAGCAAGTAATGGGGGCAAGCAAGTTGTAAAAAAATCCTTGAAAGCGATGTGTTTAGAAATGGCTGCTAATTAAGAAAGAAGAAATAATAAAATAAGCAGCATGCAACTTCTGTATAACCACCGCGGCATTTTCACTGAGAGCTCATGCACGTTTGCAGTTTTCGCCATTTGCAGTCTTTTCACGAACGGGAACATCTGCAATTTTTGGCGGTGTGCTTAAGAAGGAGAATAAAAACATTAAAAAAGAAAAATATATTCCACGAAATTCACCAAGTTATTGCGACTACGTTCTTCCCGTTCCCACCGTGGCGATTTTGGAGTCAGGATTCCCTTCTTAGTAGCTTTCTCCTCCTTTTTCTCTTCTCAAAAAACTTGGAATTGCTTGAACACTTTTCACCAGTGCTGCAAATCGAGCGCAATATCTCGTTTTGCTGCGTTTCGCGGCTATTAACTGGTGCCCAGACTTTTAAAATTCGCTTACGTACATTGTGGAGAGAAAAATGACAGAAAACATAACTATTTTTAGGATCATCTCTTTCAGACATTCCTTTTTCTGCTCAAGTTAAACAAGCGCTTTTACTCACTTTGCTTAATGCTGTAATATGCCAATCCAGAATTAGTCCAATTCCCTGTGTATCAGCTAAGTGTACTTTGGGTCCAACGTTGCCATGGCTGTAACGTAACGACGTTTCTGCACTCACCAACCAAGTTAAGCCACAAATTTTCTCTCCAAACGATTCTGGGTTGAGTTGCGACTATGGTTCCACCCGTTCCACGTTTTTCCGAATATTTGCTTTGGTGTGAATGCACATTTCTTCAAGGACACCAAGTCTCTACATTCATTCAGAAATGGTCTCTTGACGACAGGTGCTCAGTTCAAGTTACTCGCAGAGTCTCGTGAGCTGTTGGGAATGCATACGTTTTCGTCTCGTCTGCGCCGATGCTGTATGCATTCGCCTGAGGCTAGGGGCGGGTGCAATCATCTGCCTTCTCTTTCCCTTCATCTAAAAATTTTCACTTCTGCTGTGTGCGATCACGGGTTTCTCTCTCGATTACTTTTCACGTGTTTATTTTCGACTTAATGAGCACTTCTTAGCTTCAAAAGCAGCCAGTCATATAGTCGCTATTTTTTCTAGGTAGAATACACGTTCGCATATTCGAAAAATATTCGCCTATTCATTAACTTGAAATAAAAGTAGGAGAAAGATAGCAATCTTCAGGAATTTGACAAGGGTAAAATAGTGTTACAATGAGAATACTAGTATTAGTCACTGTGTTCGTATGCAGCTATATTTGTTAATAATTGCCTTCCAGGCGGTTGATCCTACGATTTCAGACCTGTAGCTGAAGATGATCGACTGTGTGGACGTGAATTACATTCTACAGATGTACGGCGACTGGACATCGTTGGTTGAAGTTCGTGTAAGTCGAACAAGCTTATGGCTACAGTTCCGTTTAAATTTATTATCACTGTATTAGAAGTAAGCTTTTGGATACCAAAGACCCTCTGGACTCTCGCGCCAGACCAATCTATCTCAAGCACAATATTATCACGTTGTCAACTAAAACACAAGGACAAGAGTGTTCAACTTTCAGTCTAGTGGAAACTCCATGTCGCGTATAACATGTGTACGTTACGCGATTGTCGTTCTCCAAATCTATACCCCTACGTTCATCTCTTCGAGTTATACCTTTTTCTCCTTTTTTCCTATCTCATCTTAGAGGAAGTAAGTTCATTTCTCTGGCTCTAGAAGACGAAATTGGCAAAAGGCTTACTTATTTTCATTATTTCAAAACCACCACGTTCATACACTCACGCATTCACCTATGCATAATACTTCCAGCTACAATTTTCCTACATGCAATATGAGAGAGCATATAGAATAGCAATGAATCAATTTAGCGCACCAGTGCCTTAGTAGAACGTTAAGAACCAAGAGTAAGATCTGTTATGAAGTAATCTTGCGTAACTGTTCAAACTCGTGCTTTTCATGGCCTTGTTGGCAATGTTAAATATTGTTGTTAGCTTCAAAACAAGATCTCATTCCTAAAAATACACCTCATTTTCAAGCGTTTCGACTGTCGATTACTCCCGAAGGACTCACAAAACCTTATCTATCAGTTAAGGCGCTGTGTTTTCCATGGAAAAGCTGAGTGCAAGAAGATGATTGTGCCTATGGGGATGAATCAGTCTAACTTCAGGAACCTGAACAACAGCGACACCGTTTATCAGCAATTCTCACAGCTTATCCAATTTCAGTTTATCTTCAAAATCGACATGTCACTAGGTCCTTTGAAAAGAGTCATTAGCGCTTTCAAGAGTTCTCCTCAAGCTTTCCCAATGCGGTTTCTGATTTGCTTAATTCTTAACTTTAATTTTTTAATTAATTTATTTTTGATCTTGAGTTTCAACTCCGTTTGATTCCCTTGCATTAGTTTTTATGTGGTCAGCAATAACAGTAGAGCGGTGTAATGATGCATTCTAATATTTCCCAAGTAAATGGCACGGTGAAGAAGAAGGACACTTTTGTGAGGCATCCTTTGAAAAATTTACTGAAACCCAACGGCTGCTAGCGGCCAAGTTGGTAGTTGCTTTTCCTTTCTTTCTCTTGACTTATTTATTTTTTATAAAAGGTTCACTAAATGTTTCGCTTTCATTGAAGCCCATTGCTTTGCTACCTCATTACCTTCTGTCCAGTTATTTGACACGCCTTTTCGTCCATGGCAGATCATTTATCTTTAGGATGTGGAAACGGACTATATGATGATGTTATGCCCTCCCGATACAGGGCATTCTATAATCACTTTTTCATTCTTTCGTAGTTCAAGCTTCCTCATATAGCAACTTTTGTTGCTTTCATCATTGGCACTCTCACACCTTGAATTCACAACAAACCATTGATCACTCCGACAACTTTGCTTTCTAAAGTGATGTATTGCATTTTAGTTCGTTCATCCTAGTGGTTGTGTTCAATTGCGTTCTCATCTCAAAGCTCGTATTCGTAAAACGCATTTTCAATCATTCAGAGCTCATAGCCACTTCACGGCCATCTTAATGCACTTTGCTATATTTGGACATTGATGAATAGTTCTCGAAAGAGGTGAAAATCGGCTAAGAGAAAGTTCAATAGAGTCTGGGAACATCGAACTGAATGAATACTGGTTGCGAATACCTTATTACAGCTATATAAGATGATTATGTAATCACTAAGCGAAACGAAGGGCATGCATGGTGTGGTGGTGAACGCGTTACTCCCCGGAAAGGACAATAACGCGTTCGTTCCCCACCGCAGACACCTGCTGTCCGGAGTTTTGTAAATATCTCAGCAATCTTGTGATTATGTAATCGTCAGTATTTGGATGGAGCAGAACTAAAGAGTAATTTGTTTTTAACGCGTAGTTAATCATTTTATGAGCATTTCGTAAACACAGCGCAGTCCCATTTTGAGAAGAAATGCAGAGGATGTCAGTTTATTGGGTAGGGAGTAATGAAAAGCATGCTGAGATTCAGTTTGTGGTCGAACCATAAACAATGTTTGTCTCACCTGATTACAATGACCTATCCACACCTATGGCTCAGTTTCCTAAAAAAAAGCCGAATTTGATATTAATTGAAAAACGAGGAGTGCGAACTATTAGGAAAACTAGTGGTACACCAAGCCAATTTTGTGGGTTCTCAGTAAATTGCAAACCAGAAAGCTTAAAAATAAGTTGCGAGGTTGCATCCTGATTAAATAGAGCCTTCCTATTTAAAGAGGCTAAACTTTAGAGTTTATCATCTCTTCCTGTTTCAGGTCTTTAAATGTATGGAACAGCTACAGAACGAAAAAAGTCATTGTGAGGGAATGTTCGCTTGGCTAGTCGGAAAAATAACACAATTATTCCCAATCTGCACACTGTGCACTTTAATGACGATGAGAATAAAATGAGTTCTTCAAAGGCTTGGAAATTTGAAATCAATTCCAATTATTTCTCGGGTACTCACTGAAGTCATCTTGTTATTTTCCTTCCTTCGCAAAAGAAACACCAGGTGAGTGACGCGTGTCATTACAGTTGACTGAGCCAAAGTTTCGCGATGTTAAGGTGGTGATGACTTTTGTTCGGGACTCCATCTGCAGTATTTTACTAGCAAAAACAATTGACACAGACCAGCATTTCGAGCATTCGCAATAGTACAAACCATTACCGAACGGGAATAAAATAAAAACGATTTGGCGCTATATGATCTCTACTACCCCTCGGGAAACTGTGACTTCTATATAGACCTGTCTGGGAGGATAGCAGCACTGGCTCGATATAAGTGCTGCTGATTTCAGAATTTTGAGCATCTATCATTTCTAATAGTGAACATTGTCAGTTCATTGCTGCAACTCAATCATCGTATCCCAAGATGTAACAGCTCTTTTCACATAACTTCAATGTTGCTAAGATATTTGAAATATCTCAGCATCATTGAGGTTATATTTCGCAATGTATACACTGCTGTTAAAAAGTGTAGGCAGTAAATAACAAGTTAAAATCTTTTCACATAGTTTTTCTAAATGTTCCTTGAAATTTTAGTATTTGTCTTCTGAATAGGGGCGTGTAGTGCAGTGGTTGGAGGCGCCACTGCAATACACACGTGGAATCGATCCACGAGCCCCCCATCCTTCCTGGGTTGGCAAATTGCTACAAGTCTTGTTTGGGAGGATAGCAGCACTGGCTCGATACATCGGTAGGCCACCGCGAGTCATTGTAAAGGCCAGATATGATATATTCAATCACCTTCAAACGATGATTAATGGTGTAAAATGCATGGCGCATCTCTCAGGGATTGATCAACGCCGACAGCTTTATCCTTTTTTATCTTCTGAATGCTGAACACAAAAGTGTGCAGGTCGTGTACGTGTGCTGTGGAACAATAACAAAATCTGACCGAACATTTGGTAAGTGAGGAAATGGCAGTAGTTGGAGTTGGATTAAATAACCATGGATAAGGCTGATATATAAAAACCTTTTAGTTGCGTTCCTTATGTTTTTTGAATCTTGACATTTACTTCAACTTAATTCCGTTGCTGCAACGTCTGACGGTGAGCCGATACAGAAGGAAATCTAATTTGTTCCAATTAACCTTAGTAACTTTTTTTTCTTTACAGACTATGGCGTGTTAAGGTGATTTACTCGTTGATATATGCGTTGATATTCATCGTTGGAGTTGTGGGAAATGGATTGCTGATCTCATCAGTGCTGCTCAGAAAGCGATCCAGTGTCGCCAATGTCTTCTTGGTGAACTTGGCCGTATCTGATCTGGTCAGTACTATTTGACGAATTTACTGATAACCGAAAATCGCTTCGAAACGACCATCTCATGGAGATGACCGCTTTTCGAACTCTTTTATTTTCTTCGACTTGATGGAATAACGCCACGAACTGGTTTCTCGATATATTTTCCTATTATTAGAGCAGTTGATCAGTCAAGTACATGGTAGAACTGGAGAAAGAGGGGCTTTACCCTAATAAATCAATAGACTTTGTGAATCTTTATATCATTCTTGTTTTGTTTCTCAGAAGATCAAAATTCAGATCGAGATTCAAATTTTTGAACTTTCCAACACAAGTGTAGCACCTGTATGCATAAATGGTCGTGTCCTGCTTGGTGAAATCGCGTTTGTTGATTTCTTTTCGTGTCTCGACTTCGAACCTCATCATAAAATAGTGAAGGAAAATCAGTTTTACAAGCTGTAAAAGATCAGAATTTAATCTTGGTAGAATATGAAATGCAGGCAGAAATCTGCAAACTCTAGTGGTTTGAAGTTTATTTCATCAATTTCAATGTAAATGAACGTTTAATATGACGCTTTAATAGAAGGCGTGATATATCGGAAAAAGTTGAGAAAGCCCACTTTCTTTCCATCAAATGCATTGTGCTCAATGCACGTCGAACTGCTCCAGCGAGTTCCTAATTTTACGCTCGCGCTTTTTATTTCTTGGTAGCAAGCTTTGGAATGAAAGAAATTTATTTCCTGAACTTTCTAGAATATTTTGCACCATTTTTTATTAGTTTGCGAAGTCAATATAGCAAAAACCTACAATGGTGCTAGCAGTAATTTCCTTGGTAGATATCTTCTATTTGGGTCGTTGATAATTAGATAGTGCAACTTTTCTAGAGAAGGGAAACTGATGAAGTCCGTTTCAATCAAAATTCAGTTCGAAGTATCGCATACGAATTTGATTAGTAAGAGAGGGAACGATCGAAGAAAGGTACTTCCGTAACATTAAGCCAAGCTAGAAGCGCATGGTCCAATTTTTGAAACACAAACTCTCCCCGATCATTAATTCTGTGGACAAATCACATCCAATGGTATGGCAGCTATGCCATAAAGCCTTGAATGTTGACTGGAAAATGGGAACGAAAAGAAAAAAGGAGATGCAACGACGTTGATTTATCTGGTTGACTTAAATGTAGTTGTGGAAAAAGTACGGAACTGACATGTGCTATCTGTTAATAAACTGCTTAACTATTATTATAATACTGTTAGCCAATGGACTTTTCCAAACCAAGACAGTGTTTAATGCGTCGGAAATCTGCCAATATGTTAAATTAATTGCTTAAGCGTCAAGTAAAGAAGCAGTAAAGAAGTAAGGAGGAAACACGTGATATTGCAGAATTCTTATCTTCGCTTAATTTATGGGAAAAAGGTGACAAAGCACAATGATTTCAAAGGCTTTCGATGACACCTGCATCGTTTAGCTCTTGTGCATCACAGCTGTGCCGATTACTCCCGTACTAGCCTTCATGAAGAGATGGGTGTTCGGACTTGTGCTCTGCAAAATCGTCCCGTCCTGTCAGGCCATTTCAGGTGAAATCTGATTCTGTCCATCTCCAAATTAACGATTCAACAAAAACTTTTTCGTCATCTAAGTTTCAAACTTTATGTGATTAGTAAATGTAGTGGCATAAAAGCTGTTATTATTTTTCTGATAATGATGTAAATCGTTCGGTAGCAATAACTAAAACCTATCTCGTTTATTTATGTACGCTGCACCCTTGTTTCTTAGCTGGAACTGATCGACAACCTCATTTCAGTGCTGATTTCGTCGTGGTGTTTGTGTTACATCGCCATCGACCGATATCGGAGCATTGTCACTCCTCTGAAGGAACCGTGGAAGTTGCATCATGCACAGGTGAAATTAGCTATTCCTCTCCCTGATTTCGGTGCCGAATACATTCTGATCCCTCAGAGTGTTCTCATCGTGACTTGGCTGGTTGCGGTATTCGCTTCTTCTCCACTCTACTTTTCACAATCACTGAAAACGCTCACCATGACGAATATTACCTTATGCGGTGAGGTGAGTAGCACTAAATCGGAGTCTTCCGTTCTTCAACATTTCTTACTGCAGTTTTCCCAATTCCAGCCACGCATTATTTATAGTTTTGCGGCGAATTCAACTGGGCGCAGGAGGACCACACCAAATTACTCTACGGTATCTCGTTATTGGTGGTACAGTTTGTGATTCCAGCTGTGATCATGTCGCTCTGCTACTGGAATATTCTCCAAAAGGTTCGCGTCGTAGTACTTCAACTCCTTTTCGAAATTAGGATTTGAAGTATTCATTAGCGTAAAGAAATTTAGTTTGAAAAAAAAACACATCGCGTAAAGTGTTTTCAAGAAGTGATAGTTCGACTGGGATTGAAACACACAGAGCTCGACATGCGCCAGGTGCAATACGCTGGACGCGAAAATAGTGACAACCTTCAACTTTAAACGAAAATATCTCAGGTCATAGCAGACTTTATTAGTTGGAATAAAAAGAATTTGAATCTACTTTCTTGGTGATGGGATTCTCTTATTCTAACGTGGTGAAAATTTGATTTTTTCTACCAGAGGGCTCATACTTCCCTCACTCTTTCGCGTAAACTTCCATCTTTCGAATGCGAAGCCTCAATCATCGTGGTTTAGCTTAGTAGTACTCGACGTGTTCTACATTTTGTTGCTATTGTTTGCGACAACCGTGCTTGCCTAAGGATTTTTCAAGGTCAACTTTCCTTCCCAGTTTGTTGGAAACATTACCTTGAAAATGTTTACGGTTGAAAGAATACTGGAAAAAAGTTGTTTATTGGATTAAGGCGGTGGAGCAAAGTTTTTTTTTGTAAATGTTTATATAATAACCGCAATGGTGCTGAGATGTTTGCAAGACTCCGAACTCCAGGTGTCTGCGGTTGGGAACGAACGCGCTATTACCTTTTCCGAGGTCTAACGCCTTCACCACCACACTGGGCGAGTACTTCGTTTCTTTTGCCTCTCAGCTAGTTTTATCGATCAGTGCCATCAGCAATCACCCGTCATCGGGTTAGAAAGGTAATAGCGCGTTCGTTTTCCACCGCGGACACCTACGGTTCGGAGTTTTGCAAATACCTCACCATCACTGTTATTGCAAAAGTATAAAGGATAAAGCTCTTGGTGTTTATCAATCCCTGAAGGATTCGCCATACATTCAACTTCATTAATCATCGTTTGGTGGTGATTGAATGCATATCCGGCCTTTACAATGACTCGTGGTGGCCTATCGATGTATCGAGCCAGTGCTGCTATCCTCCCAGACAAGTCTGGTACCAATTTGCTCACTTCGGTGGGATGGAGAGCTTGGTGGGCCATGGGCGATGGGATCAATTGCTCGGTTGTGTTGCAGTGCGCCTCCGACCACTGCGCCACACGCGTCCTTTGTTGTACTGTTGCACTGTTATTGTACCACACGTGATACCCTGTCGTAAAAGTTCTGAATTTCTGAAATTCTCTACTGGTCGAGGAAAAGGGTTTGCACCTAATTTGAATTATATATTCTCAAAAGAAATACTTAGTAGAAGTGATCTACCAAAACTGTCTCGGATTTTTTCAACTTCAGTAACCGACATTCCTTAAATATTAACTTTTCAGTAAGAGAAAGATTTTGCACAAACTTAATTTCTGCCTCTGTTCTTTTCGCCTTTTAATCAGCGGACCTAATTGTTGTTGAATTGGTTTGTTGTCACTTTTCGTCGTTTTTCAGCTCTACAAATCGCTATAATTGCTGGTGGACAGGGATTTTAACTAGTTGTTCGACAGTAGGAAGGGAACTCGTGTCATGCGATGGCCGATTTTCGTTCTGAGAGAATGGAATTCTCCTCAGCCGTCATTTCCTGTTAGACTATGAGCGACATCCCTGAATTGCCTAGAGCAGTCTCATTTCATTTTGACACTCAGAGGCATCGACACCTCAGTCGACGCACTCCACTGGCAAAGAAGAACTTCTAGACGTCAACCGACGCCCAGAACCTGTACATAAAATGACTTCATCCCATTATCGTACTCTACGAAGACAAGATCTGGAGTGAAGCTGGAGCTAAACCACTCTCTGTGTGATTGTTACCACTCTCCCAATTCTTCTTCCCTATATCCTTGGATGAATCTTTTAAAACGTCTTCATGATGTATGATTCCACATTTATGGGAATATCAATAGAGTCCGCTATTTCTTTAATTAATTAATATCTTTAGTGTGTTTTTGGACTTTGACGTCATTTTTTTCCGTTATTTCGTAATCAAGAGTCACATTTCATATCATTACAAACAACATTTATCTTAATGCTTTACAGCTGTCAACCTTGTTTTATGTTATGTATAGCATAGTCTGAGGAAAACTGTTCAGGTGCGAGCTGACTGGATTGTCGACGAAGGCTCCATGTTGACTGCTGCTCAGCAAGCCCAAGTTCGTCGTTCCTTTTTAATGAAAATAGCACCGTCCAGAAATTTTCCAGACTGGGTACAAAGAGCAATATATTTTTGCACAATTAAATTTCGGGCCTTTCTTTTTAATATAAACCTAGTTGGATTAATTGCCTTCGCCTGGAGCATTTTCCTCGTAGAATTCTATTAGTCAATGGAGTCGTTCCTTTATGGTTGGATTTTTGTGTTTCTTAAAACACAAAATGAGTGGCAACACTTCAGGAATTTTCTAGATTTCCATGTTTATATTTCAACTGAATGTGTGATTTCATGTGGCTACAATTTCGCTTCTTTAGACGGCCGTTCGTAAGAGGCGAGTCATGTACGTGCTGATTCTGATGGTCGTTGTTTTCATGACAAGCTGGTTGCCACTCTCTGCGGTCAATTTGATTAAGGACCTAGAAATCCCACTGGTAAAAAGGAATTATAGCACAAAATATTTGAGTAACTAAAAGAAATATCTGCTGAAGCATTATCAATACATTCTTTTGTAGTTACATGTTTTTTGTGCTTCGCATTCCGTGTTAACCACTCTGCAGCACATTGATTGTTCTTGGTGAGAAATCATCATCTTTTTCAGATTCTTGAGCAGATGTACTTTAAGCTGTTGAACGTGCACGCGATTGCCATGACCTCCGTGGTGTGGAATCCGTTGCTTTACTTTTGGATGAGTAAAGTAGGTATTCACACTTCTTTTCTGATTCATGACACGGAATTTATGTAACACGTCTCACAACTAACCATTCAGAGTGCACTTTGGTGTTAAATATAGTTGTCAAAAAAACTTATGCTATGTTAACCACCGAAAATCTCAATTGATCCATCTACTACGCTCTTCTCAACACCAATTGCTTAATATGTGAGCTCATTGATAACATCTCACTATGAAGTCCTCCAACTTTTCTATTCCCTTCCGATCCTGCATTGAGGACACCACAACACTGGATTCAATTAGAGAAAAAAGCAGAAATGTAATCACATGGCTATTTCAAATTTGTGGATAAAATCTTGCAGAAGTGCAAAACATGACTAGGGATAGGCCTTGCTTCCGTGTGACAGCGCGTGAGGGGGAAGGAGACTAAGTCTTTAGTGGGACGGGAACCACTGCTGTAAACTGGTAGGCACGGTTATGCAACTTTTTCCTCTGTGCAACTTATTATATAAGACATGCATACAAAAATATGAGAAATTTACCAGTACCCACTAATAGGCTTCCAATGGAAGACATTGGAGGAGTTTATGTCAAGAAATTTTGTGAAGTCTTGAGCGGAAGTAACAGGAATTGTTGTCTTGTGGGAATTCGATAGGTTTTATTTTTAAACGGTTATACTGAGAATCCGTTTCTTTATACAGGTAAAGCGAGCTTCACCACTTCTTCCACTCTTTCTGGTTTCCACCATCATTCATGGAGCTCCGTTTCTTCTTGAACACCTGAGCGACGATTGGCTTTGATATAACAGGGGTGATTCGAGCCATGATATAACAAAGAAGGCTCACTCTGCTTATTGTCATGCCTAATTTGCTTACATTCATCTTCTTATTAAGTGGAAAAAAACCCTGGGCAGCATTTGGTTAACGAATCCTTCTCAAAAAAATCGTTAAGACTGCAGCAGTAGGACACCATTTCTTAAGGAAGGAAGCTTCTTGAATTGGGAGAAGCGATGTGGTTGGTCTTTGTGCAAACTGTACCAATGCAAAGCTTCGAAACAGTTGTTACACCTCTAAAGAATTCTGAATAATTCCCTAAATGTTGTGTATGTCACGTACATTTGTATTTACATATGTTTGCATGTATATATGGATGTACCTTTGTATGTAATATGTGTGTATATGTGTGTTCGTGTACATGTGTCGTTTGTGTGTGTGTTTGTGTGTGTTTTTGTGTGTGTGTATGTGTGTATGTGTGTGGAGAAAAGAAGGACGTCTTTGTGAAGTACTCGATGTTAGCCAAGTTGTTCACAGTATTTTATAGAAACAATGGTACAACTACAACCATCTCTAAACTAATTATAATACGAAACCTCTACGTAGGTTATAGTTCTGCCTCAGGAATTCGTTCTCTCACTTTTTGTTCATATGAATGGCTTAGCATTTTTGCTACTGTGCGAAAATATTTTATATGGATAAGTTATAAATCTCATATATCTGCACTACATAAGGTTAATATACTCACTATTTTCTAGCGGCATCGTCGAGCACTCAAGGACGACATGACGTGGTTGACAAACGTTCGAAGACACACCAACGTTGGAGTGCTGTCTAGATTCACACCGTCGCCTTCAGTGTCATTGGTATACCGACGAACTCTTGAGAAGCACCTCGGAGTGCCCAATTTCAGGTCGTGTCTTAAATTCGCCTTCATTTTTTTTTATCGTGTTGCCGTGCAACGCGCGATTCTCACGGAGAGATTCTCTAACGGTTAGCCCGGAGACAACGTGGCACGTTCCCACGTAGCAGATCGGGGAGGGGGAGGATAAGAACTCGAGTTGGACGTTTAAGATTGAGAAGATGTAGATAAATACAGGTTTTGACAATCTTCGTCGCTTAGGCAAAGTCATCAAACTACAGCGAAGAGAAAGTTGAAGCATTCTATATGGACCGTGAGATATTCCACAGAGGAGACCATGCATTCTTCAAGGTTATCGTTGAGTTTTTAGCGCTAAGATTCAATTCAGAAGAACGTCTGAAAAACATTACAATGAGACCCACGATTAGAATGGAGCGAAAAAGGTGAGCGACTGCCTGAATTCATCATGACGGCCGAGACCATTCAACATCTTTACGCCAGCACTATGATAGCTGAGAGTTCGAAAGTCACCAACAAACGTCTGTCTTCAGAAACATTGGAGCTGATGCGCCAGCGTGGAATCGCATGAGCTACAGGCAGCCGCCAGCTCACGTCTGCACTTGCAAAACGGTGCATACAGGCGAGAAAACAAGTTCTTAGGTAGAGAACACCAACGGTTATGGTCGAAACCACAGAGGGTGGAAAACGCATTCGCAAAATCCACCGAAATTTGGCCATTTACAAAATAAAGATGACTGCACTCCGACGTCCAGACGGAGCAGTTACAGCTTCGATTGAGACAGGGGAAAAAATCATTCACGATTACTCGGATCTCTTCGATAGCCACGTCCACCTTCCGTCATATGAAATAAAGAAGGATGGATATGTTGCACCACCGGTTCTCTCTTCCGAAATCTGACATGCCATTTCGTCGGTGAAAAATCGAACAGTACCAGGTCCGGACAGCATAGGACCAGAACACCTGAAGAATCTTCCGCCAGTCCTCGTAAACACACTGGCTCGGCTCTTCACACGTTACCTGTCTGAATGTAAGGTTGATGTTAATTAGAAGGCCATCAAGACTTTGTTATTGTTCAAGAAAAGGACCTTTGTGATACCGGCAGTTATCTCCCAGTTTTAACGATGTTGAATGGTAAAAAACTGGGTGAGAGAAAGGCAACGCAGGAGCATTCGTAGTGTGATGGGTAAAACATGAGCCTTGGAAGGAGTAATCGCAGGTTTGAATCTGGCCTGGGTCCAAGTTTTGCAAATATCTCAGCATCATTGTGGTTGTATCTCACATAACATGCTGCTTTGAAAAAAAAATGAGCAGTAGATAAAAAGTTAGACATTATGATATTTCTCAATCTGCTTGGTGTGTGATCTATGGGCTTCTTCCTCAAGTCGTCCTAAACAAGTCTGACAGAAAATTGGACGAAGGACAGCCATGCGAGAATGCAGACTTCGAAAAGAACTCAGTGGTTTTATCACATCCATACGATAACAAGACGTTAAAGTGCCGTGAAAATGCAAGAGAGCACTTTATTTTCATCGATTTAAAGCAGGCTGTCGACTTAGTTGAGACGGAAACAGTCATGGAAGCTCTGGTTAGCCAGGAAGTCCGTACTCATTACTCATTTGTTCTTTGTGAGCTGTATAAATATTTCACAACCAAGATGCAACCATTCTACAAAGATGCATGAAAATTATTTATCGTCATGCGAACAGTGGAATGGAACAATATTGGAGGAGTGAAAATCGGTGGTCGGCAATTACATCGTCTTCGCTTTGCTGATAACATCGTTCTTAACACCGGTCATTAGCCAAGCGGAACGAATGCTTGCCGACTTTTGTAAAGCCTCTGGAAAGAATGGTCTTCGAGGAAATCTCGAAAAAACGAAGTTCATGAGGAAAGCATTGGTTACCTAGGCCCCTCTCTCCGTCATGCTCACTGGTACGAATATCTCTCAGTGCCCTATTCCGAAGTTATTATCTTGGTCGAGAAATCAACATGATGAATGGCTTGGAACTAGAGTTCAACAGAAGGAAGCGAGCGTCTTGGAGAGCTTTCAAGAGCATCAAGGATATAGTGAAGAGAACAAAAAGCATTACACTCCGTGCACGTGTTTTCGACTTCATGATTCTTAACGTATGTGTCAGAAACCTGGTGCGAGATGAAACATTACTCAGTGTTATTGAGCGCACAGTTGAAAGGCCGATACTAAGAGTTTTTCTTAGTCAGCAAACAAGAGGTTATTATTACAGATAGGTGACAACCACATATTAGGTTATCGGTCAAATGAAATGCATTTATTATTTATGCTGATGCTAAGCAAAGGTTGGTTTACAACCATGTTGTTAAGGAATTTGTTAGTGCACAGTGCTTAACGTTTCGACCATTTCGTCTTCTTCAGAGCTTGAAGGGTCAAACTGACATGCAGTCTACTTAGTGAAACACTTTCATATCCTCAGCAGATAGAAATTAGTGCATAAAACTCCTATTCGCATAATAAACAGTTTTCTTTTGAACATTCACCGTTTTTACTTTATAAGCCTCCCAGTTATTTGGTGAAGACGAGCCGCAAAGAGTCTTACGTGGTAGAGGAATATGCCTGCTCGGATCAAAAAATTAACCTGAGTTATGGCGCCAGATTATGCATTATTACGAGTCTTTCGACTCATTTTCGGAATCTTGAAATCTATCCAGAATGCTTCGAAAGTTTTGTTCGCTGAAGTTTTCGATTCTCGTGCGAAGATGGTGACCTCTACTTCAAAATTTTCCCGTAACGTCATGTGTCCTTTGTGTACCTCGTGGAGTGGTTCGTTCGTCTGCAATTTTGCCTACTAAATGTTCTTGTACGGGCGCGGAGTGGTCTACCCAATTTGCATGCATATTCGTCCCTACACGCTTTATAAGAGACTAGTACATCGAACGCGGTCTCATGCAATCACCGTCGCTACCGTTAGGACATATTATAAAATTCTCCGTTGTGTATAAGCTGTCATATAGATTGTTACGAACTAGCTGCTGTCTGAGAGTGTTCGATGGTATTTTAGTCAATGCTACGGAACTCTAGACAGTCCCTTCTTAAGCAACGTTTTATAGCTGCATTTATTCCGTTTGAAATGAAGCGCGGGATAAACGGGACCTTATTATCGTCGCTTGGAGGAGTGGTTTTTACCTATGCAGCTATCCTGAAAGGGTAAATTTTCGTAGTCATTCGAAATGTCTATTTGCCGTGCCATTTTTAGGAAATCTTCCTTGTGCTGTCTTCCCGTGCACACACTAGCGGCTGTTCGAAATGTGTTTTTACAAGCGCCTTTTTTATGAATAAGTGGTGAGAGGAAAACCAGTGAACCAATATAATTTTGTAACCTGGCTTTCGGTAACACTTGATGATGTAGCCATTTTTGGATAGGTTAACATGAAGGTCCAGAAGGTGATACCAGTTGTTTTTCTGTTTCTCTACAGTGAATATTATATACTCTGACTGTTAGTTTAATAGCCTAAAACATTTGTCGATCTGCTCTTGTGTGGAGCAGATGACAAAGCAATGATCTTTATATCTGCAGTACAGAAATGGTTAGAGATCGATTACTGGCACTTCCACTCTAAACATAAAGGCAATAACAGGGCTTGGTGCCGGTTGCTGTCCCATAGCCAACCCACTCATTTGGGCGAAATACATCCTGGACTATATAAAGGTTGAGCAGTTTGGAAACTAAATTAAGAGAACTATAGGCTACAGAGTCGAGACACCATAGATGTTTATTGTTCCTTCGTGTTGCGTAAGAAGTTCGAGAATTTCGTGCATTGCGAAGTCTTTTGACACATTAAGTACAAATCCCGTAACGTCGAAGTACTCCACCACTTACATACTGTTAGAACGCGCGTTACGTAGACGATCTAGGAACAATCGGTTATTAGTAAAGTAGGTTGGGATATGTTTAAGCCAGTGTGTAAGTATTAGGAATAAAACCATGCTGTTCTATCCGTTGGTCCTTCTCTACAACTGATGACGAGTCTAACGCTGAAGGTTGAGGATTCGATAGACGCAAGATCACCAGTAGATACTTGAGCTTTAATAAGTAGGCACAAGAAGGAACATATTAGTAAGCCAATTTTAAGTTACAAAATAGCTGATGGTTCTAAACCTGCTGTGCTTGCCATTTTGGCCCATTCCGTGTTCAGTTTTCGGGATTGATTTTTGAATTCCTTTTGAGATGATGTGCGATTAAAGGAAGGCGTCTTTAAGGTGTTTCTCCGTTATCTCGGCGTCTAACTGACGAGGAATTACTACAAACTCTGAACCCTCATCATTAACTAATAGCCCAATCGTTTTTTGCTACTGTGAGGTTAAAATTAATCTTTTTCCTATGGTAGCTGTTACGGATTTCGAGAACGAATTTCGTCTGAAAATATTCGAAAATTGATATGTACTTCGCCACTGGGACTTGCTGTCTAAGGAGCGCCGTAAGACGAGGAGATAGTGTTAATGCCTGTACTTCTTATACTTCTATCCTAGTTTTTCAATTCTAGCTTTGTAGCAGAGTCGATCTTGAGGCTCGAGCAGACTGCATGCGATCCTACCCCCAGTTTCTTTAGAAATAGGGAAAACTTGTTCCCAATGCTAATAGCAAGCGTGTATCGTCAGGAGTCGTCCCTCCTAACACGGTGATACATGACTTTTCTGCCACGTTATCCACCATGTCTTGACTCTTGCTGCTTTCGTGAGCTGTGTTTCTTTATTTTATTAAAGCTGGTTTATGCCACTGGTTTAATAGATTTTCTTATTTTTTCCCTAAAGTAATAGTAGTTCAAGATTTTATTATCGTTGCCATAGAAACCTGAAGTTTGCGGTTTCTTGTTAGTCTCCATTTAGAATGCAGACGCAGTGACCATTAGTTGATCATAAAAGAATAAAAAAGGAGAAAGCTCTCGGCTTTGATCAATTTCGAGAGATGCGCCATGCATTCGACATCATTAAGTATCGCTAGAGGTGATTGAATGCATATCTGGCCTTTAGAATAACTAGCGGTGGCCTACCGATGTATCGAGCCAGTGCTGCTGTCCTTCCAGACAAGTCCGGTGCAAATTTGCCGGCCCCGGAGGCATGGAAGGATTGATAGACCATG